AAACCCCCCTTGATATTAAAATAAATGCAAAAAAACCAACATACCACTGGCAATAGAAGAAATCCGCCAAAGACTATTCATCTTTAACGTTATTTGACACTGAACTTGATCCTTACCACACGCCGCCAAGTTCAATAAGAATACTAATACTAAAAATAACGTAACATTGAACTATGCAAACATGTGTACACCCCGTTGAAAAATAAGGGTGTGGACCATTTTAATTCATTCACATTAACTCGTTATCACCGTGAAGTCAAAAGCTAATTCGACGATTCTCAATAACAATCCATAATTTTATTAGCCATTTAATTTTTAAATCACCCTCGTTAAATTTTAATGCGCCGATAATTTACTAATATGTCAAGGTAGTCGTGTCTCTGTTTATATCTATTTCAAAAATTAAATTTTTTATTATTATTTAATTAAAACTGACGGTCAATATCCCGGGGTTTTTATTTCAATGAAAGTTTGTAACAACAACAGCGCCTGAGGCGAGATAAAATAAACGTTTAATTACATTTTAATTAATGAGGTTCCTCCATCATCCTTCACAATAATGAACATGATGTATATATATGTATACAAAATTGATCATACTACTGTAATTATCTAAGGTTGTGCAGAATGTTTACACAGCAAAGAGACATGTAGACTGATGATACTTCTAAGGCTTCAGTTGATCCAATCCGACCTGACCGACACTCACATTCACGGTATGCCACTACGTCAGTCATCTACTACATATTACATACTTGTATATAATAATAATACTATACTCTATTTTCATCCTCTTCTTTCTTCTGTTTACATCCATGTTCAGGTTCACTTTACTAGTATTTATTTATTACATACAATATTATTTGTGTTGAGCATATAATAGCATCGTTGTTCTATACTAGTGATATGATGTGCTAGTATAGTGGCTACTGCTACTTTGTGATAGCTCGAGCGTGTTTTATTGGCTATCCATATCCACCATGGGGTTCGATATAGAAAATTCATGCCTGTATTCCTTAGTGACGTACTTTTTAAGGATTACTTTGTTGGTATAAATAGTGAATAGTTGTTATTAGTAACTAGTTGGTGATTGGATGACACCTATAATGAATTGATAAATATAGAAGGTGATTTTTAAATTTATATTATGTATTATATGTACGATAAAAATATTGTGATGACATTTTTCTCGTGTCGTGGGCGGGTATTAACAATTCATCCGAGGTACGGTGTAGGAGATTTATTGTGTGTTGCGGTAATAATTGATACTTTTTTAAATGTCATGTGGTATTATATATGGGTTAATTATATGCATTGGTGATACTCAGTGAAATAAAAATTAAAATTTTATTATCTTGATTGATTTTTGGGTAATTTATGTTTTTTTATTTGAATTATACGGTTGGAAATTTTTATTAAGCAAGATTATTTTTAATAATAGTTTTTCTTAAATTGACCTAATTGATGAATTTTTCGAGACATCAAAAAAATACTTAAGTAGAAAAATTTACTAACTGCGGAAACAAAGATGAATATGACATAAAGAAGATAAAAATTCAAAATGACCTATTCACTGAGCAATTCATTTATTTCACTCGGTGGATTGGATTATCAAATTTCTGTCTCTTATATTTTCTTGATTGTATTTCTGATAACGAAAATAAAGAAGGAAATTTATATTTTAGTTCATTCGTTGATGTTAGTATATAATCATATAAATTCATTGTACTATAAATAATTTTATTGTTATGAAATATTATTATTATTAATATATTTAGAAAAAATAATTATTCTAAAAAAGTCCATAAAAGAATATTTCGAGCTGCCCATAGTAATACTAAAAAAAAATTAACTAGGTTCAAGGGAAAAATTCTTGAATCAAGAAAATCATTTAATATTTTTTTTTGTTTTTAATTAAAGATTTACAGTGTATGATAAATTGTATACATTTTGACTGGCTAAGAGACATTTATTTATAAGTTTTTAAAATTAAAAATTAAAATTAATGATAATTATTATTCATTTTTGCAATAAAAAAATAAGTATTGCTTCAACAAATAAGCAAATAAAGAACAACTGTTTATACTAAAGCCTTCGTGATTAAGCCAGAAGTGTCATATTGATACCAATAGATAATGAACCACAAGTATCATCGGATGAAGTACCGTTACATACGAGCTTTTCATATTAAAACAACTTGCGCAGTCATTAACAATAATCGATTAATTAAGTGTCGGCTTTCCTCAACACTTCATAGTTATATCACATAGTTTTGCACGTCATCGATGCTATATTTTGTTTAGCATCTCTATTTGTTCATATGTTAACTAACATACATCAGCAAAAAAATTGGTTCAAAAACTACACCATAAGTGGGTACTTGTAACGTAATAGTGGTCTTAAAAGTGGTTAATGGTGTGAATTTCATATTAATTTCTAGCACATGCGCAAGCTAACTGCGCTTGTCAGTCCAATTATTCTACGTTATTTACATTTGTAATTCTTATAATTATTATTATACTAATAATAAATACATAAGAAATATGTCAAAAATTCCAATCTACATGTCTAGTTCCATTTAAAAATACATTAGATAAACAAAATTCTTAAACTAAGAAATTTTTACTTGATTTAAGAATTTTTCGTCTTGATTGAAGACATGTCTTCAATTACAATTGCAATTACCCTCTTCAAAATTATTTTCTTGGTTTAAAAATTTTCCTCTCGAATCAAATTAATTTTTTTTTTCAGTGCAGAATACACACCATTTGGTATTAATGCTATTTTTTAAATATTTCCTTTTTTTTTTTTAAATAAATTGTTCAATACATTTCAGAAAATGTTTACTAGTTAAGAATAAAATTACGTGTGTTTCGTATCATCTGTCTTCCATGGACCATTCTGCGCTGTCGTTATATTATCTTCTTACTCTTGGGTATAAAGATATTGTAAGTAGTTTTCTCGTCTCATCTAGGCGTAGTATAGAAGGAACTAGGAAACTGGAGACTGCAGAATGAAGTAAAAAGAGTCGGTCCAACGCTGGGTGAATGAGTCTCGTGAATATTCAATGTTGGAGGTAAAACGGTGAGATTTCATCAAAGAAGTAAGAGAAGAAGATGATAAAGAAAAATAATAAAAGAAATGAAAAAGATTACTACGACATTCAAAGCTTATGTATGCATAATAACAAGTTTTCATTTTTTAATCAAATATATAGGTATAGTCGTAAGACAAAAAATTTTTACAAGGAATACTTAGGGGATAATCATGTTTTTATTCTCAATTGAGATTATTTTACGCTTAATTCTAGTCGTTTAAATTTAATTGTGATTGAAGAATTACAACTGTTCAGTCGAACAAATTATTTGAATAGAAATTCATGAGCTTAATCAAGAAAATAAAATTCAAGGATAAAAAAAAATAATTTACTATTAAAAAATTTTATCAATTCAACCAAAAGTTGTGCAAAAATGGAAAATTTCATTATTGTTTCAACAATTAGTATAAGACTTTGATCTGACGAATGGAAAATGAAGTTATACACTCTAAAAAAGTAAATAAGGAAAATCCTTTCTCATAAAACGGAAAAAGATATGAATATATTCATTATTTGTTTGACTACTACAACATCCAATAATTCAAAACTATTCATGAAATCTAGAAAAAAGGTAGTATTTCGCATGTGCTCGCAATAAATAAGTATCTTTTCTGGTAGTTGTATATATAATAGTAGATGATAAGAAAAAAGAAGAAGAATATAAATAAAGGCCACACCAATAGTCCGGAATCGTGACTTGGATATGAAGGAGTTTTCTTGGCACTTTACTTGACATTGTTGCTATGGATTTTGAGCACGAAGGACTTGTAAAACTTATTATGCCGTGAATAAGTTTTCAGAACTCAAGAATTTACCCATTTAGTTGATAGTTGTCGGTTGAAAATTCAAATCTGTACAAGAGTAAGTACATAACTATGCTATTCTCAGTTGACCGAGGCCAGGGGAATTAATTGAATTTGCATTCGATCATACTCAATAGCTCTAAAGTACATACCATTCAAGTTCAGTTAAATAGAAATGAATATTCACGAGGAAACTTGTGTCGTTTGTTCACTATTATAAAGTACCATAATTTCGGCCTGGCAGCTTCATACCTGATTTTGTAATATAACGATCGATAAAATGAAATTATTCATTTCGTAAATGATTCACTCGGCTATTTTTATAAAATTTTTAGTCTGCAATACACAACTTAATATCTGCAATGATAATTTGGCGCTGAATTTTACGCGAATTCTTAATGAAGACTATTCTATTGAAAGGAAGGACTCTTAGGAATCCAGTCGCAAATTTTCTTGTCACTGTTGTCAATTAGTGCTGCTATTTACTGATGGTGCAATTAATTTAGTTATTTCTTTGCTGGAATAAAATTTTCCAAGTAACTGGATTAGAGATATTTTTTCCAAGACTTTACTTTTGTTATTTTAATCTCTTGAAAAAAATCTTCTTACGAAAAAAGTAAGTTAATTCTTATATATACTTAAAAAATTTTTTTAATTTTTTTATTTAATTTTATTAATAGAAATAGATTTTTAATTTTACATCTTTTGGTATATGAATTTTATTAGTATAGATTTCGTAAACTTTATACATTCATTGATTTTGATGGAGACAAAATTTATCACAGAATTAGTTTTATCGTCCATAAAAGTAAGCAGATAAAATTTTAGATCGGTAATTTTCTGGATGTAAAATAAATTTTTCTACTGATATAATATACACTTAGCACATTTATAAATTGGATTAAAGTTTACTTTATCATCACCGCACAAGACAAAGTCAAGCATGAATATAGATTTATGGACGTGATAAACGATTTTCTAACATTGGATAAGATTGATATTGATAAGCCACGTTCTGATAACGAACAGTTATAGTTATAAAGTCATCTTAAATGTGTCGAAAGTTGTATAATAGTCTTTGACATATTAAATTATATATCATGGCTAAATATCATTTGTTAATAAATTCTAGGCCGCCGATCAGTTTTTTTAGGAAACATGCCAAGAAAATTATGGTATTTAGTGCCCTGATTTGCGTATTCTATCTGATTTACGCTAGAGTCGTAAGTTATTTAATATATTTTATTAATTTCAATGAATTGATAACTCATTAAAGTTCAAAATATTTGTCACAAAACAAAAATAAATTTAATGACAGCCCGAGTTGAAATATGAAACGTATTAGAGACTATAAATTTGAGTTGAGTCTTAACCTACTAAAAATGTGAGCTGGAGACCATAAATAAAACGTATAAGACATTAAAATACAGTTTTTCTTGATCTTGAAATATTAAATTGCTCATATCTTCGAAACTGATCATTTTAGCTATAAGAATGTAAGCATAAATATGGCAGAAAATTAAATTTTCTAAAAATTTGCATCTTACATTTTTCTGATGAGATAAGCTGTTCTCTCAATATCTCAAAAATATACGAAAAAATGACTTTGAGAGTTGTTACAATTTACGTGAATTGAGTTATAGTAAACTTGTTGAAGATTCTTTTGAAGAATGTTAAATGTGCTCTGAATAACAGTTTTCATCAATATAATATTTTAAGATCGGGAGAAGTTTTAGAAGTTGTACAATTTTTTTTAAATGATAGAATCTAAATATAAAAAAGAAAGTACTTAACATTAGTATTGAGGGCAAAAATTTTACAGAACAATATTTCTGTGTCAAAGAAAAAAAAATAGTCGTTTGAAATGAAACACCCTAACAATAAATTAAATTAAAAAAATAAGCAATATCTATAAAAAGCTACCCAGTCATATCGTATTTTTAATATCTAATACGTTTTGTCTACGTTTCATATTCTGACTCTAGAGAACTTTAAGATGATTTTAATTATCGTACAGGAGATATCAAAACTCTCAAAACTTAAAGACATCTCGGTCTCGAGAGCATTAGATTTAATAACAGAAGTTAAAACTCTTCCTTTCGCTGAAGAGTCTGAAGACTCATGGAAAGAACCAGATATAAAGGGCTCGAGAATTTATTCAGCGTACTTGGAAACGAGGAGTCAAGTAGTGCTTGAAGAAAATCGTTACTTAATCTATAACGATTCCACGTGGGCTTTTGTAAGACAACTTTCTATATTATCATATTACACGTTGATAATTTCATGGCAATTATCGCTAAATGCTAATTGTTTTACAGATCCGCATAGTTGGGATCATCCCAGTAAATTTGAACTCTCCTTTGACTTGCTATTACGAGTATGCCTATTCCGACAGGCCCCTCAGAAAGTTGGTGATTAAAAAACCTTCGATTAGAACCCAGTTGATTGCGAAACCAGAAAATTTTGGTATGTACTACTCTGCTGCTTTTATCCTCTGTCCTCTAGCTTACCCGGAAGAAGTGAGCTCGCGGAACATAAAATTGCCGTATAGAGTGACAGTGTCAACAAGGGCCGATCGTAGGGATCACCAAATTAATGGCAATGAATTTGTTGTAATAAGATACCCGAAAAAATGGTATCAGTCGAGTATTGATCATAATGAATTTCAACCCGCAAAAACATTTTCGGTATGCGTCAAGCCCTTTCATCATAATTTCGATAAAACGCTTGATCTAGTCACATTCATTGAATTCTACAAGCTGATGGGAGTTAATCACTTGACATTCTACCGGGATTCAGTAACAGAAAATGTCGACAAAATTTTGAACTACTATGTCAAGCAGAAGGTAGTTACTTTACTAAAATGGAAATTGCCTGAAATTTATGTCTTCCAGAAAACGCTGAGAACTGATGGTATTTTTGCGGCACTAAATGATTGTCTGTATCGGAACACGTTTCACGAGGCCATGGAATATGTAATAGGTGTCGATGTAGATGAGTACATCGTGCCGAGAATACATCAAAATTACAGCGAGATGATGGAAGTCCTCAACGCGGTTCCCGGCGAGGAAACAGGGGTTTGGATCATTAGAAATGTCTTCTACTATTTGATGTATGACGACGATGTAGTTACTTTGCCGGGAGGTGAGCTTAAATTTCTTGTTCTAACTCTTAGAACTTAGTTCTGCCTCAAGTGACATTGGGAGCTTAACTTTTAAATTAGTGAACTGGGAGAAGGAACTTTTAATGCTTAGTAAAATTCTAAGTTTTTTACGGCGGTATTTTCTTTCAATTTATTTACAATTTATTATTAAGATATTTAATGACGAGCCCAGTTTTTACTCGGAAAGACTCATTAAAATATATCAAAGTTGGGAAAATACATAATTTAATTACTCTACAGAGGAACGTACCTTGCATGAGGTTTGCGTTCGAGTTTCAAATGTAATATACTAATCTGTTCAATTTAATTTTATATTTTAAAACTTTTAAGGGTCACCCAAGCTCACTTTGCACTTCAAAACTACGAGATTGAAAGAAGCTAACCCTGTTTATGAACGCAGCAAATATATTGCTCAAGGAAAAAATGTTGTAGAACTGGGAAATCATCGGGCGTGGAAGACTAAAAAAACATGGTCAATATTTGGAACTCGTAAGTTATCATTTTGACGATATTAGAAATAATCATCAAATTGGCTGCGTTTGATCTTTTTTTTTTTTTTTTTTTTTTTTTTTTAAAGGATACAAACAAGCCGAAGTAGACCCTATTATCGCAACTTCAAATCACTACAGATTTTGTGAAACTGAGATTGATAAATGCTGGAAACGAGAAACGATCATAGACAGAACAGCTCATAAATTTACCGAAGAACTTAGTGACAGAGTTTCAAAAGTATTAAAAGAATTGAATCTTGGACAATAAATTTTTGTTAATAAATATTTTTAGGTTTGTATTGGAAAGTTTTATTGCTTTATTTTTTCAATTTGAATCTCAAATTTAAGGATTTTGAGAGTTATGAACTTTTGTGTTATAATTTGAGTAATTGTTTAAATGTGTAGCTTCACGGTTTTTTGACTATAGAAAATTAAAAAATCTACTTATTAACAATTTTTTTAACTTATTCAGTTCAGTATCATTGACTCTACAAAATTGTAAACATTCGAAAAATTGGGATATTGACATTTTTTTATTTAATTATTCCATTTTTTTACTTGGATATAAAAAATAAGTAAAATTATGACAGAATTATTGTATCATCTCTTAATTTTTGATCAAACGTCAAAATTAATAAATTTTTTAAAGTTTAAAAAAAAAATTTTTAAATCATGATGTCAGGACACTTTTTTTTTTTTTAATTTGTTCAGTTTTTCATACTCTTAAAGGAAAAAAATAGTATGGTACTCTATAAATCGATGCTTAAAACATACATGTGAAAAACTAGACAAGCAGATATTTTTTTTTGTTTTAGCTGTGAAAAAAAATATAAATATAGAATTTCATAAATTGTACAAAAACAATGCATAAGTCATAGGATAAGTTTATTACGATTTTTTATAGAATACTAATTACGGATAGTATATTACCGGTCAGATAAATGCTATTTTTTATACCATTAAAATGTATTCACATATCGAAAATTCAGACACTAACATGTTGCAACTATGAAGACTGAAATATTGAGTACCGTTCGGTAATGTATAAGGGACAGTGATATCAATATATTGGGTATGCAATATACAAAACATTCAATCCCGATGGGTGCAATACGGGACTTGTATCGTTTTTCGACATCCCAGTTTCTGGTTATTGATTTCAGCATTCGAATGTCATAGGATTAATGACAATTTGTAGGCACGTTACATTCGAAAACAAATGTTGATACACGTCTGTCGAATAAAAAGTAATATTTTAGTTTGAGATTTTTTTTTTAACTGATCGGAGAGATATTTTTAATGCAAACAATTGTCAACCTGCGACAGTGTAGTAGCTTTTTAACAGAAGTTAACAACAATGATACACTAATTGCTTTGGCGTTTGTACATTAGAGCAATTGAACAATAATTGATTAATTATTGTATGCTACTGAGACAATGAAATTGTTCATTGTATTATTGTGTATCGCAGCAAACAAGGCATTTCGACAGCCGATGTCTATGTTTGTAATTTCCTATAATACAAGATAATACGAGTAGAGAACTCCGATGGGACTTATCTACGATTTGTACTTCCATTCCGACAATTATTACCAATAGTTAACACTACCAGAACTGTAATTAAGTCTGTCTGCTGTTTAGTAGGTAATAATAATAATAATTACTACCACTTCGGAAGTAGGTCACTATTATTCGTAAGCCAGAATTATTTTGCTTTATGAAACTTTCAATGTATTTGTTTAGAACGAGGAAATATATTAACTCGTGAATATTAATTTGGATATTGATAAATTGGCAACAATTTTCTGCGTGGTAATTATTAATTCAAAGTTTATTGCCTTTATTTTCCAAGCAATCAATTATGACGCTAAAATAATAGGATTAAATATATTATAATTTATTGTTTTGTTAGTAAAATTATTGATATTTTAAAAAAATTTCAATGATTGACATTTTTTAAAACTGAGTAATTTAACAGAAAAAGAAAATTACTTTTTCTTGCTAATTTACAAAAACAATTTGCTAAATTTAGAGTTAAAATGCGCCTGGAATTTTTAAATATTTGTATTCTACCTATCAATAAACAACAATTATAACTATCAATGTACGAAGTTAAAGATATTTCATCGTTACGAAGAAATGACATTGAAAAAATAATTAATTTGATTCTAGAGAAAATTTCTAGAACCAAGAAAACTATTTTCACGAGCTTTATTGTCTTGAATTATAACGAAATATTCTTGAATAAAGTAAAATTTACTTAAAAAAAGGATAATTTTTCTTCAAGATTATTTTTTTGGTTTATAAATTTTTGTCTATAATCAAGTAAATATTTTATTCAGTATGCTCTAAATTCTTATCGAAAAAAACTTACCATTCACGAGTTATGAGAACTTTATACGAACATACATACAGACATACGGACATTATCGTAAACTTAGTTAGAACAGCTTTCTATAGGATCTCAAAACGTGGAAACATGATACGAACTCGATTTTTGAAAACCGGAATGAAACCAATAACTTGCCAATTTTTTTAAATTAACAATTTTTATAGCATGATGTTAAAAATCAGTAATCTATCGTACAAAAATAAAGTAGCAAGTTTGAGATTAAAAAGTTGAACTAACTTGATTTTCAGACTAGATGACTCGCAAAGTTTTAAAATACGAAAAATAAGTTTCAAAAATTCTCGACTAACTTTCGAAGTAGGTCAACTGTAAATTGATGTATGTCCCTAAGGTTCTCGATATTTTAATGCATAAATTTACACTTTTCAAAGACAAGTCAAAGTAAACAATAGAAATGATCTAAAAAAACTCGACAAATTCAAATAATTTCAGTTCTTTCTCTTAGAGTACTCGATCGTATTGATTGTATTGTCCCACAGAATTCCTTTGATTTCTGAAATGTTTGAATCTTTACCTCCCCTACTTTGTCTACGACTGTCGAGAATTCATGAATCTCAACAATTTGTAGTGTCAAAAGTATTCGATCGATAAAAGTGGTCAACTCAAACCAAGTATAAAAAAAATGAGAATCCAATTTAAAAAAAGTAAATATATAGTACTTATATGTATATAATATCTAAGGGATTTTACCTTGGGAATAAATTGGAAACTCTCCATCACTGTGACTATGAGTAAGCATTCTCGTGGAATAAAAACGCCAGAGTGGACGCTGGGGTTTTCGATCTTCTCTAGAAGTGCTTGCTAAAATTGAGTCATCTTTGGTAAGACTCAGCAAACTTGCGACGTCTTGGAGCGACACTCCGACGACAACCGGAGTGCCGCTCGGTGGTTTCTTCTCTTCCCACAGGATTACCAAATATTTAATCACGCTTACACTATTATTTTAATTTTCACAATGCATAAATATACAAATTATTATATACTGCTTGTTTACAAAAACAATATTTAGAATAAAAATAAATACTGTTTTACCGCACTTTTATCTTTTCTCAATAACAAAACACCATCACATATTTATTAAGATTTGTAAAACAAAACTTTTAAATTACTATTTTCGCAACTCAATGGCTTAAGTTAATAACAATGGAGTTCTTAGTACCTCTTAAATTTTAAAAACTCTTAGTTAGTAACAAGATCAAAAGTCAACTGAAAACTGCAGTAACTTATCGTTCATGTTCTGCAATTTACTTCAGCTCAGAAGACACTAAGTAAAGATACTTTGTTAAATTTTTTCAATTTTCTTTCCCCCCAACCCGAATTCAATTTATTCTATTTCCGGAATCGTCAGTACAAAAAAAAAATTCTTTCCCGTAAAAGCCGAAATTGGCGATTTCACTCGATATTCAAAAAAAATTTCCATTCACTCTCAACTCTACATAATTTTTTCGCTCGAAAATTTTCACAATAAAAAAGATAACAACCGACGCTTTGCACATCAAACGTACCAACGAACTTTAGTACTTTCAATACTCCTTTTATTAAATGACTCAAAGGCAGGTCAGTAAATGATAAAATACTCTACTAAAAAAATCCAGAGATAAAGTTTAATCGTTTTCTTTATCTCAAAGAACTTTTCCTTTAATTTATTTTTTTTTCTCTTAGAAAATATAAATATTAATAAGAAAATAAATATCAAAGATTACAAAGATGAAAAAAAAGCCACGAGACTCTCGCGAAGCATAGCATCAACAGATGTTTTTGATATCGATGATACAAGCACCAACCACTTAGTGGGATGCGTTTTAATTAGATAAAAGTGCTCTCGTTATTCATCAAGGTAAATTCCGTTAATTGCGCTTAATAAATACACGGATTATCTTTTCTTTTTTAAATTATAATACTAACCCTCGGGCAGTGCACAATATCATTACATCATTACGGAGTCAATTTAAACTCGTAAATTGCCACAAAGGTAATTAATTATACATTAAGCGGCAGTGAGCAGTAAAAATTTAAAAAGCAAACAAAATTTCATTTTTTTTTTTATTAATTATTGATATTTGTCAAGCTTGTCGACGATTGTTACTCAAATTTTTACCAAATATTCTTTTATCAGTTATCAATTAAACAAACGTAAGAATATAGCTTAAAAGTCGACTGACACTGACAATATAAAACAACTTAAACTTTGAGAAGACAAAACAGCAACCAACAATGGGTTTTGTTTCCGAACATTCCTTGGGGCAAAATACCTCGTCAAATGCATTCGATTAAAACCGCGATCCGGAGATTCTTAATTTACAACTTTGAATGACTGTAATTATAATCAGCTTACACACGTTGAACAATAGAACTTCGGTGAGTTAGTAAGCAAAAGAGGCATTGATTATCAATAAACAATTAGTCAATTGGACGGCACTAGTTATTAATTATTAATTATTGATTATAGTTATAGTTTGAAAAGCTTACACTGTTAATTATAGTTTGATTGGCGGTATCAATAACAAACAGTATTGTAACTTAAAAGACTGATGGAACGCGAAAAGACCTTAGTTGAGCGAATCCGATGCGCGCACTGGGATGAGAGAGAAGTCGGGACCAAAACCGGGAGAATAAAAGCCACCGAAGTGGTGGAGGAATATGTCGAGCACTGAGGGGCGATATTTACCCCCAGAACTACCGAGGGATGCTGCAGAGAAAGCGAGATGAAGAACAAACCGTAACAGCGCAAGCTTAGTTAGATGTATAGGTCTCGAAAAACGTGTATCACATCTCGGTTCGCATCCCTGACTCTATCTTCAGCTTCACCAATGGGTTAATGTTAACCTGACGGGCGATGGGCACTAAAGGGTAGTCGTGACCTGGTACTTCCTAACACTGGCCACTCGGGAAAGACAAGTGACCTGGTTTACGGTAATTGACCTTTCTTCTTTATATACTTCGATTGTTTGTTTGTCAATCTACCGGTTACTAATTTAATCACATGGACCATTTACAGTGAGGAACTTAACGGAGAACAGATCTTTTGATCGTGTTAGGGTTATTTTTATCACTCCTGACCGCTATGGAAACCGTGGCTGCAGTCGATTTCAGATACAATTATGGAAAAATTATCTTAATCCACTGATAGAAGGATCTGTTTATAGTTAAAAATATTTTTTAATATTTGACCAATGATTTATTAGAGACCACTTTTTAGTATTAAACAAATATTTCTTACTATTTAAAATGATTTGTTTGTATTTAATAAATCTGATATTCATTTATTAAATAGTAATAAATCTTTTTAAATGCTAAGAAATATTTGTTAAGGACTAAAAAGTGGTCTTTAATAAATGATTTGTTAAATATTAACAAATGTTTTTGACTATAAACAAATCCTTCTATCAGTGTACAAACAAACAAAGATTCAGGTGAAGCTAATAAAAAGCGTGTAATTAGACATCTTATCAGCCACTTTTGACAATCTTTCTCACAGACTTTTAAAAGCCAGTTTTGAGACAAAGGTGTTTGAAGTGGTTCGGCTTCGACCCTATCAAAATACAGCCCACTCCGAAGCGACTTCACAAATATATTTGAAGTTTACTATCTAAAGTATTTGACCGATTGAAGTTGAATGTTCTGGGTAAATACGTTAAGAGAATAAAATTAAAAAAATTGATTGCTTTTTTTTTTGAGTATGTACACTGAAAAAAAAATTAACATAAATCAAGAGTAAAATTCTTGAATCAAGTAAAATTTACTTTAACCAAGTAAAATTTCTTAGCTTAAGAATTTTTCAACTCAAACCTAGAAGAAGAAATTTTTCAAAATTATCTACTTGATTCAAGTAAATTTTTTTTTCTGTATATAACCCCTCAATAATAGAATTAAATTTATCAAGGCAAAAATGAGATTTTTATAATTTTTTTTTTTTTGAATCAAATCGCTTTTTCATAATATTTTATGCAAAACCGAAATGAACCGGAGGACGATTATAAATTTTATTGACGAATTTAAACGAGTATCAAGGTTGAAAGTAATTTGACCCGACCTAGGTCTGTTAAGTCACGGGTCAGGGATATGCATTAAGACTAACAGACAGACTAGATGCTAAGGCATACAATTTTCGATCCTTGTACTGGGATCAAACTCTGAGCAGATTAGATGCTTACTAACATTTTATACAAGCTGAAAGATTACTTGTTAGTAGTTCAAGTTAATAGTTTGTAGGTGAGATCAGAGAACTTGATATGCTTAATTAAGTTTCATGTTCATCACCTTTAAGCATTTATACTTCTCATTTCTCTGCTCACAAGGTAGACTAGTTTATATCTCTAGTTAACAACTTTGATTATAAGTTACTCACCGATCTCCTTGTCACTCACAACGCCTGATGAAACTTTTTCTGGAATCTCCTCGTCTTTTAAACTCTCTGCTGCAAAAATCAATATTAAAAGATGTTATTGAAATTATTGATAATAAAAAATTACATGAAGGAATACGATCAGTCTATGCAGACAATAATTCGACGTTATTTATGTAAAAATATATGTAATATTTATTTGAATAAAATATGTTTATCAATTTTATTAAATTATAAATGTCAACAGATCATTTTAGTCATGACGACCAAGTCTCAACAACTTCATATACGATTCATACTCGCAAGACTTTTTAACACCACTCTTGTATTCGTACAAACTTTTGAACAAGTTTTCGAACTTTTGACAAGTCTTGTGCAGGTTTATTTGGTCCGCTTCAGGAAGCATACTTAATATTTTTAGAATTAACTCTTCAGGCAATCCTGGAAGACTTGGATTTACAACTTTTAGATGATTCAAGACATCACATTTTAATGGAGTGATTAAATTGTTTTTTATTCTGAAAAAAAATTTCAATTATAATATAACTTTTTTTTTTTTTTTTTTTGACAAAACTAAATGTGTGAATTTTAAAAATATTTTATTGCAGAAAATTATTGTGTCAAATTTCATACAAAATTTCTAATTTTTAGATTTTTTAAAACAAATTTATAAAAAAATGAAACTTATTTGAACAGACTTTTTAATTTTTTAGATTTTTTCAAATAATTAAACTATTAGAAAGAAAATTGACAAAAATGTCAATCATGAAAACTTTAAAAAGTCATAAGTCTAATTTTTCAGTACAAATTTGTTTAAAAAAAAAATCAGATCTGATGATTTTAGCGTTATTAAAAAATAATACTTGAATTTGATTAAATTATTAAAATATTTGTATGGTAATAAATTATCTTTTGAAGAAATTCTGAAAAATTATTAATCTTTGTCAGCTAATATATAAATCATAATTTAATATTTTAAAAATAAACACCAAAAAACAATTAAATCTCTGGTATTATATCGTACGAACATCCAAAAAGATTCAAAGGCTGTAGGCTTGTTTTTAAATATTTATATCAAGCTAAAATTCGCACATTCTAAAATGTAATTTTCCAAACATTAAATTATCAAATATCAGTTTTGGTATTGAATAGAATAAATATTATGTATACTTGAACTAAAATAAAAAATTGTCACACTCAAATTATCTTATTACCTATGTGAAAAAGTCTTTAAATTCATAAATCGGCTGTTAACATCACTAGAATGCAAGTTGACAAATTCCAACGTTTCAACAGCAGTACACCTCGTCTTGATAGCATTATTAATAGATGTTAAGTTTAGTATGATAACATCTCCCACAGGAATAGCGTCCAATTTACAATTTAATTCTCGTATGGAACGATGTTCAAGATTAATCCTGTATGCTCCATTTATTTTCCATTGTCTTGGATCCAATTCTAATGATAAATAGTCACCCCTGTAAATATAACTCAGGTAATTATTTGACATAATAATTAGTTAATAATAATAATAGGATAATAATAATAATAAGTTACTACAAAATTATTTATTGGTTATGAATCATGATAATTGATGTTCGGATAACTTACCTGTCTTCATTATTTTTGACAATAAAATCCGCTTCTTTAAATACAGTTATTGTTAGTGCAATGAGATAGTCATTGTGAGTTGTTTTTTTTTCACTTAAAAATTCTATTATTTTTATTAAATTCGGTGATAGTTTCAGTAGTGTACTCTCTTCTACCAAGAATACCATTTTTAAATATTCTTTGACACATTACACTCAATATAATACATCTACTATGTTAATATTATTACTTCGTTTATTAAATGATAATAAACTTACTTGTTTTCTTACTATTGTTTGTTATTATAAAAACAAAACAAACACGTGAGGTATATATAACAAAAATAGGTGGAACAGAGACATCTCATAAGCAGTAGGATGTTGCTATACTTACGATCGATAAGTTACTGAGTAGTGATAATTATTATGAACAAAAAAAAATTCAATAACAATTATTTGAGTTTAAACTTAACAATTATCAGCTTAGTTTTCAATATCATTACAAAAAAACTAGATGAAAATTAATTTAGCAGACATTTGATAATTTCAATCATTTTTTTAACAGATAAATTATGGCAAAAAAAGTAGAAAAAAAATTGACATGTAGATATTTAAGAAAATAAAAAATACAATTTTTTAAAAATAATTTTTTTGAAAAAATTTATTTGTGAAAAAAAATGATTAAGTGACTGCTAACTTTAATGTCATAATATCAAGTGAAAAATTAAAAATCATCATATTAGAGTTGTAGTAAAATATATTAATCTTTAAAAAAAAAAATTATTTTTTTAATAGTAGGTTATTTCTATTTTATTCAGAAGAAAGAGTTTTTCTTTCTAATTATGAACAAAATAAAAATCAATCAAATCTTTCATCTATAATCAAGTTAAATAATATTTTCAAAAAATTAAAATAAACAAAATTGATACCTTAAATTGTCAGTAATTTTTAATAAATAAAAAAAATCATTGCCTGTTAATTTCCATAAAGATAAAAAATATCCCCTATATATTCTCTCAAAAATTTTAACCATTAACAAGTTGAAAAAATCAACAATTTTGTTTTAAATATTATGGCTAATATTAAAGACAATATAAAGATATAAAACTTACCATTTTTTATTTTTATCTTGGTTTTTCTGTTAAAACAATATTTACATCTAAATAAACAGATCATTAAAAACTGAAACTAAACTCTATAAATAACGAATATAAAATGGTGGCATGAACGGAATCTGTAAAATAAATAAAATGTTAATCAATAAAATAATAAATAATAAAAAATCCATTGATAAATAAAGAATTACTGACTCATAAATCCAACTTTGATTAAAAAGACTCAAGTAACAACACTGATGCCGAGTGAAACAAATGACGGAACAACAAATATATACCCGCGGACACGATATTTCACGTCGCGAATACAAAGTTTATTTTACAAATATTTATCATCAAACTACATGTTAAATAATAAATAACTGACATTAATTATTCTTCGACTAATAGAATATATTAAAATAAAATAATTTTTAATAACAATGAAAAATAATTCTGTAATTAACAAATTTAATTCTGAGAATACGAAAACATCCGAATTGCGTTACGAAAGTTGCGAGACAGCCGCGGCAAGCACGGCGAAGCGACTGCGCTCGAAGCGACGGTTGCGCGGACCTGCGCAGAAGAGGCCAAATCCGATGCGCAGTCACTAGAAGTTTCTACTACGCAGTAGAAAAGTAACAGCCGACTTGAAATATGGCTGATCGTGTGTCTCAGTGTTTATTGTTGCTAAAATAGTGAATTTATCAATTACATTAGTCGATTTAAAAAGTATTTTGTTTTTAAAATTGTTCTTTGGTGATTAATAAGTGTCTTGAGATAATAAATTACGTGTGTTAGTGAGATTTATTAAAGTTATGACGTATTAAATTTTGCCGGTTAGATTCGGGCATTGTTGATAATGTTTACTTCCGTATTTGCATGAATTGCTGATTAAACAGGTAATTTTCAACAAACATTGGTCTTTAAATTATTTATTGAGCTCGGTTATTGATTATTTATGATTATTTTAGACTTTTGACAGTTCCTGGTATTCTTTATGAATTTGTTTCTCGGCAACAGAAGAGAGCTCGACAAGCTGAGGAAAATGGCGCGAAAAGGAGTGAGTTTGAATTTTTTTGAATTATAAACGTTTTATGTTCATGTTTATGGAATTTTATCTAGCAATTGATTTATTTAATAGTTATAGTCAATTTATTTTTACTCAAAAATAGTTAGAAAAATTTTTAATGAAAATTAACTTAGCAGGTATTTAATAATTTTAAGAGTTTTTTTAACAAATAAATAATAGCAAAAAAAAAATTGACATGTAGAAATTTTAAAAAATGAAAAATGCAATTTTTTTCTAATAATTTTTTAAAACTAATTTATTTGTTAAAAAAAAAATTAAAAAATTGTCAAGCGACTAATAATTTTAAAATCTTGTAAATTGTTGCTAATTATTAAAAAATAGTCTTTAAACCGACTGAATTTAAAATTAGTTACGTAAAAAGTTTAGGGAACATTTTCATATTGCTTTTCAAGTATCAATAATAAAATTTGTTGCGTTCAAAGCAACGATTAAATTTACCGTGACTATTTATTTAGTTAAAAAAATTTTTCAACTTAATGATTTTTGATTTACATAAATCGTAATGATATTTTTTAGTTATATTTAACGTATAAATTAGTAAAAGAATATTCTTGGAACATTAAATTTATAGTTGTTCAAATAATCATACACAAAGGTTTTTTTTTGTAATAATTAAAAAAAAAATCATTCATGAATTTGAGTAACCATTACAAATTGAATTTAAAAGTTTCAATGCATATTATTTAAATAAACATAAGTTTTACCTAACAAAAATTACTGCTAATTGACAAAATTCAAGCTTAGGAATTTTTTTTGTGGATCAAAAAGTTGCGAGACAGCCGCGGCAAGCACGGCGAAGCGACTGCGCTCGAAGCGACGGTTGCGCGGACCTGCGCAGAAGAGGCCAAATCCGATGCGCAGTCACTAGAAGTTTCTACTACGCAGTAGAAAAGTAACAGCCGACTTGAAATATGGCTGATCGTGTGTCTCAGTGTTTATTGTTGCTAAAATAGTGAATTTATCAATTACATTAGTCGATTTAAAAAGTATTTTGTTTTTAAAATTGTTCTTTGGTGATTAATAAGTGTCTTGAGATAATAAATTACGTGTGTTAGTGAGATTTATTAAAGTTATGACGTATTAAATTTTGCCGGTTAGATTCGGGCATTGTTGATAATGTTTACTTCCGTATTTGCATGAATTGCTGATTAAACAGGTAATTTTCAACAAACATTGGTCTTTAAATTATTTATTGAGCTCGGTTATTGATTATTTATGATTATTTTAGACTTTTGACAGTTCCTGGTATTCTTTATGAATTTGTTTCTCGGCAACAGAAGAGAGCTCGACAAGCTGAGGAAAATGGCGCGAAAAGGAGTGAGTTTGAATTTTTTTGAATTATAAACGTTTTATGTTCATGTTTATGGAATTTTATCTAGCAATTGATTTATTTAATAGTTATAGTCAATTTATTTTTACTCAAAAATAGTTAGAAAAATTTTTAATGAAAATTAACTTAGCAGGTATTTAATAATTTTAAGAGTTTTTTTAACAAATAAATAATAGCAAAAAAAAAATTGACATGTAGAAATTTTAAAAAATGAAAAATGCAATTTTTTTCTAATAATTTTTTAAAACTAATTTATTTGTTAAAAAAAAAATTAAAAAATTGTCAAGCGACTAATAATTTTAAAATCTTGTAAATTGTTGCTAATTATTAAAAAATAGTCTTTAAACCGACTGAATTTAAAATTAGTTACGTAAAAAGTTTAGGGAACATTTTCATATTGCTTTTCAAGTATCAATAATAAAATTTGTTGCGTTCAAAGCAACGATTAAATTTACCGTGACTATTTATTTAGTTAAAAAAATTTTTCAACTTAATGATTTTTGATTTACATAAATCGTAATGATATTTTTTAGTTATATTTAACGTATAAATTAGTAAAAGAATATTCTTGGAACATTAAATTTATAGTTGTTCAAATAATCATACACAAAGGTTTTTTTTTGTAATAATTAAAAAAAAAATCATTCATGAATTTGAGTAACCATTACAAATTGAATTTAAAAGTTTCAATGCATATTATTTAAATAAACATAAGTTTTACCTAACAAAAATTACTGCTAATTGACAAAATTCAAGCTTAGGAATTTTTTTTGTGGATCAAAAAAAAAGAATTCTATTTTTTATTTTTAGTTAAAAATCATGATTTCATTACGAATAAAAAAACACCGCTTAAGAAAGACCTTAGATATTTTCCAAAAGTAAAAATTTTATCAAATAAACTTTTTACGAAAATAAAATAAAATTAGATTTTTTTTGTTTATTTTTTATCAAACAAAAATGTTGCGTTCCGAAAAATTTAATAAATTCTTTTATTATCTGTCAAAGAGTTTATTTATCTCGTGAATTCTTACCATTCTCTTATGATATAGAGAAAAGTAAAATCTCCCTTACCATTTCCAAGCAACTTAAAATTATAATTCCTCCTTTACTTACTACAACTTGATTTTTGAAAAAAAAAAAAATAATCATTCGAGAATATTAATAATTTGTGATTAATAAGCAGATTAATTTTAATTTACAAAATATTTTATTCGGGAGTTTTTTTCATCATTAATTTGAAATATCAGACAATGTTTTTCTTATAAAATAATATTTTTGGCTCTCTGTTTATTAATTCAAAAAATAAAGAATTATTAAGGCTATTAAATATGACTACACTTTCATAGTTGAAAATTTTTAATTTAAAAATATACATTTCACTTGATATCATGTGTACGCAATACAATGTATATTAATTTTACTTTCGAGATTAAATTTACATATTTATAGTATATGCTACCTGTAAAGTTTTTATAACATATAAAAAAAAATGAACAGAACAGTATCTTTCGCACAGACATTTGTTTTTATTTAAAAATTAAAAATGCAACTCAACAAATATTAACATTAAAATTAATAAATTGTGTACTTAAAATCATAAACAAATAGGAGCTTAATAAAAATCAAATAATTGAACGTAAAGGTCATCGAAAAAATGTAAGACCGAAACTGA